GTTGTATTAAAGTTTTTCTTCATTACCCATTCAAGCCGTCTCCAGCCATTATTAGTCTCAAAGTGGATTCCTCGTCATCGAAAAAGTACACATTTGTTCATCATGAATAGAAGGATACAATTTTCAGTATTGCTTAAAACTTTAATACTGGACATTTGGATCAACAATAACAAAATTGTTATTCATCATGTATTAATATTTTTGTAATTTGTCATATCAAAGCCAAACAAATTAAACTTTGATTCTGATATGTTAATTTCCTGCATGTGCCACAAACCTAGAATGAAGCTCCACTCCTACATGTGTCAATGTGTATTGTACCAGGTTATGACATAATCATCGTAATGCTGTAGCCCTCCACCAAAGGGAGAGTGATACAATGTCCATTTGTAGCAAGTTTTGTGTATACTTGTAAGTTATCACATAATCATAGGCTCATTTTTTCCTCAGCACTGTTAAAGTTCAGACATAATTTTCTTTGTGTCTTGATCGACTACTTTTTCCTTTACTTTTATGTTGCCTTTTTTCTTGTTGCAAATCCATTCCAACCATTTGAATGTATTTTCATTTTTTCCATAGTTGCCATGTTTCTTCTTTTTACTGTATGAAACAGAAATTTGTGTGTGTAATTTACTGTGAGTTCTCAAATGCACATGGCTTGATTGTTTCAGCACAACCTTTGGTATTTCCCCACTTCTCATTCAGACTTTCCAGTCGAGGGGCAGTTCTTCGTACCACCAAATTCAGAGTATGGTCTCCAGATGAGTAATGTCTGTATATCAACATTTTTGAGATGACTGCAGTTTATCAGGCTTGCCAGCTTCTTTGGTTGATGTTATTAGGTCATTTTTTGACTATCCATTTGGACAACTTTACGGTCATTTCTTACATCAACTACCAGGGAGGCACCTGCTCTTGGGATCTGGAAATCCTTAACTGAACCAACAATCCTCGTATTCACTTAGCATCATGTCATGGGGGTTTGAATCTGGTAGTGGATTGCTTTTCTTGACTGAACAGGATTTATCTCGTGGAACTGTCTTTGCATCCTGTGGTCTTCTAGTGGATTTGTTCCAATTTTGGAATGCCACTGATTGATGCTTCTGTAACCTTGAGTACAAGATTGGTGACCAAATGAGGGAAAGCTTAGAATTGAGGGGAGTTACAGAAGCATCAATCAGTGGCTGAGGGGAGTTACAGAAGCATCAATCAGTGGCTGAGGGAACTGCTCTGGCTGTCAATATTCTGAACTAGGATTGGTCCAATATCTTTCTTTCTGCCTGTCTTTCTTTTTGCCTTCTTACCTAGATACTTTCTATCATTTGCAACAACCTTTGCCAGGTTCTATTGATTGCTGTACCAGTCCTGATTTCCACTTTATTATTTGTCAAACAGGGAAGCTCTTTCTCTCCTTCACCAACCTCTGTTATCCAGCTTTCTGGACGAAATGTTGAGCCTTCATCTTCATGCACAAGATTTATCTGGCTCAATGTGAAACGAATGGGAATTTTCCCACAGGGTGGCCCTTTTTTTCTCAACGTTTCATTCCCAAAAGAGAACACCGACGTCAGCCCAGTGTTGGCCTGACAGTAGCGGAAATATTAGATCAGTATCTTATACCAGAATAGGTCCAGCATCAGATTACACAGCAGACCAATATCTACCTGATTCCTTTAGTTCTATGTTAGCACCTGATTCTATATTTAATTCAGATTCTATACACTAGTTACAGGATATAAACTTATTTTCATTTTATACTATTGAAATATCTTGTATATGGTTTAATTAACATTTTAAATATATTTGTTTTTTTAATTTACATGTATGATGAATGATTTTCATTACAACTTGCTTTTAATTGTTACATATTTGAAGAATATCCTTGATGTTTACTGGTTGGATTCTATAATACATATGTTTTTCTTTTACCCTTTTGTATTCTCAAACATGTTTTATTAATTCTTTGATCAAATAATAGAAATTCAGCATATGATATTGTTGATAGGAATATTCTGCTGTAACTCAAAAATTTACATCTACAACAATACTCAACATTACAAATGTCGGTACAATATTTGAATGTAAAACTAGGTCATAATACTCAACATTACAAATGTCGGTACAATATTTGAATGTAAAACTAGGTCATAATACTCAACATTACAAATGTTGGTAGAATATTTGAATGTAAAACTAGGTCATAATACTCAACATTACAAATGTTGGTAGAATATTTGAATGTAAAACTAGGTCATAATACTCAACATTACAAATGTTGGTACAATATTTGAATGTAAAACTAGGTCATAATATTCAACATTACAAATGTTGGTACAATATTTGAATGTAAAACTAGGTCATAATACTCAACATTACAAATGTCGGTACAATATTTGAATGTAAAACTAGGTCATAATACTCAACATTACAAATGTTGGTACAATATTTGAAAGTAAAACTAGGTCATAATACTCAACATTAATGTAAAACTAGGTCATATTTAAATCTTAGAAATTGATAATTTAATACTCAACAAAAACAAAAAACACAACATTAACAGAGCAGAATGTTTGTTATTTCAGTGTGTAATACAATTCACATTCAAAATAATGCAATAAACAGGTTATGTTTTGCAATTTTTGTTTATGAATGTACATATGTTTTTATAAAAAATTACAAAACAATAAAAAATCATTATGTATACTTGTATATTCTGGAATACCTGAAGTATTTATACTGTTAGAATAACAGGAACATAAATACCAGTGTCAACAAAATAGTTTGGTGGATTTGATTAGCAGAAACTACTAATCAGTGTGGAATTTGATTAGCAGTTAGCAAATATTACTTAGCATCTCTTTAACATTCATCATTTTAACACATTATGGCAACTAAATCCAGCATTAAAACTCTTAACTCTTTGTAAAGACATCTACTGATGTAAAGAGGTAAATAGTATGTTTTTATTCTAATAACACTTTTATCCAGCTTCAAACCATATTATTTAATTGTCCATACATGGGATTTCATGAACAAAATAGTTCCTGGTATATAAAGTAAAACTTCAAAACTGCAAGAAATACTAAACACCTCAGCAGTCACAAAATAATGTAACAATTGATATACCAGAGAAAGACTTGACTTGAAGATATTGTAATAACTGACCAAAGTTGCCACAATCTAGCTTATTGGTGAGATCTCATCACTCTCTTCACAACATGGTCGTATTGTCTTTTTGAAGAAGATGATATTTTTTGACTTTTCAGCAGTAATTATCCCTCTTACCATGGGCATCCTGTACTGTGCATGTCATGAGGTTTTTAGTGAGTTACATTCAAAATTTAATTAAACTACTTTTTATTTATGTTATACCAATTAGTATAGCATAAAATTGTAACTAATAATCCATATGTTAATAGTATACAAGTTTTAAGTTCTTAATTTTGTAGAGGAATATTAAAAATAGATCCCCTAGTGTGAGAAATGTGACTTTTATTTTTTTCTCTAGGGTGCTATTAGGCTATGTTTCAATTGTTGCTGTTGCATCTTTTCCATCATAAGTAAAAGATGTAGCTCTAAAAGCAGAAGAAAACCTCAATAGAACACAAAATATTTAAAAACAATGTAATCAACAGTTTTAGTATTTAACGACATACTTTTGATTCACTGTATGATGAAACTTAAAACCATTTATGCACATTGAGTTGGGTGTCAACATTCAACATAAAATAGTATATTTCAACCCATGAAGCACATTCTGAAAGCACGATGTATATATTAAGTGCACTTAAACATAATTACCAGTATATAGATATTCCCCAGGATTTTCAATTAGCCCACATGATGTGTTAATATATTTTGTAACCCTGTTGTGCTTGGTTTTGTAGTCATAAGTAGTGGAATTGTTGTGGAAGTGTTTGGTTGTGATGCAAGTAAATAGACAAACATTATTATTGCCTCATTTATACATGGTAACAACATGTTTTCCTATTATATGTAATAAGTTCAGTTAATAATCTCTTGGGGTTTATGGATCTTTGGTTTAAAACATTATCTTGGTTGTCAAAGTTGTAGAGAGGAATTTCTGGTGGCTGAGGATTACCAACTGTCATTTTCTCTTTGGTTATTTTATTACTGAATTTGTATGATTCATCACCTGAATCTGTGTCATCTATTTGTTGATATGATCCGCAAACATGACAAATATAATGATTTAAAACTTGTTGACTTAATATATATAAATTTTATCTCAAAACATAAGTACATAAAATATGTGAAAATATGTCATACTTAGTGTTTGAAGTCACACCTAGGAGAATTAAGGGAGGTTGGAAATGTCACACACCTTTTCGTGTTTACTAGTTTTAGTAGTTGAAAACAATTTCAACATATTTAATATGTAGTGATTAGAACAAACATTAATGCATTGACACTATCAACTAGTAAAATAAAAGTATTATGAAGTTATTTTAATCAGTGAACTTATATTGTCTTGTGCTATAATTATAAAGTCAAATAATAATAATACTTTTTTATATGTTTTGTAGTATTGTTGTTAAACCAGTAAAGGATAAATTAATTCAAGTAATAAGAATATTTCTAATTCTATAGAAGTAATCTTGAAAATATAAGTACTATGAAATTGTACCATAAAGCATGAAAATTTATTTGTTTTAATACTTTATGAGTATACTCTCCCTGATGTAGCTACATCTGGCAATACATTCCAAATGTTTATTATCTTCACTTCTCTTTCTAAAACAGATTTAGGAGTCACATAGACTTCTAAGTTATAATTTTCATTGTCTGTTATTTTATTCTCCCAATCAGATCTTGACTCTCAGGTATAAATAACTTTGTATATGATTCTAGGGGACACTATGTTAGTCTTTAGAACATCATATGATTGTAAAGTAAAATTGTCTTTAACATACTTCTGGCATCTTTGGGTAGTGTTGAGATCATGTGCTTTCAACCTGACAACTAAAGAGGATAGTGCTATCAGAGTAATGTTAAATTTTAATTCCATTTTATCAAACAATCAGCTAGTTTACTTTCTTCATTTTCTGAATGACCAGTTGACTCGGAATTCATTAAGGTGTTATGCATAGTTTCTTCATAAAAGCTCATTTTCTGTATCACTTTATATGACATTACTACTTAGTACTTCAAAACCAACATCACTTGACCCAGCCTAGTTTGAACAGTCTTCAGCTGGTGCACTTGACAAGAATGTATCCTTAATACTATGAACTTATTCAATACTATTAAACTCTTGCTGTATTTGTGTGTGAATATCATCACAATGCAAAAGTTGATGGGTCTTTGTTTTTTTGTCCATACATTTCTGGAACTCTCACCTAAGATATAATATGTGAAAATAAGACTTAAGTTTATTATTTTTATCGTGCTGACATTTAACCACCTCTGAGACGTATATAAACTTCCTGCACATGATGCTCTTTTGAATCAACAGCTTGAATCATGTGTCTCATTCACATTAGCTTCTTGTATAACTCAGATACACTTCTTTGTGATCAGAGTAATTTGAACAAAATCATGAGAAATTTTATTGAATGAGACTGCATTAAAACCATATCTCAGTACATTGATGTACAGAGGTATGGCATCCTGAAAAGGATTTGGGTATATTAGACATAAATGTTTGTAAGACTAAAACCTCTGTTACATTAAACTGAAGCATGAAATATTATTCATACCCAGTAATTTTTTAACATTTGAATTATACAGGGTGGGACAAAAGTTGTGTCCCAGAGGAAATTGAATAAAAATAAAAAACGTTAAATCAATAAGTGATTCAAAATGAATGGCCAGAAATTCAAACATTGACTTGCATAAACTAAAAAGTAATTACTATTTTGAATTATTAATTGAAATCACTATGGAGTACAACATTTGCACCATCCTGTATACACACAAATTTACAATACATTTATTTTAACTTGAATTATTATTCCACAAAACCAAAAGGTGACTCTGCACAGTATATGTTATGAACAGACGAATAGTCTCATTCATAATTTCTTGATTAATACAGACATTGGCAATTTTAATTTTTATAGATATGTGCTTCATATGCTTAACACTATAACAATGAATTAGTGCCTGTATATCATATGAATTTTCATAAATAATAAAATTAAGTGTTCCAACAACCTGGTATTCAAACTACTATGAGTATGATATTGATGAAAAATTGAAAAAAGTGCGCAGTACGTGACTAAAATTCAAATCCATAGCTATCTCATTCTCAGTCAAGTCATTCTTAGATTGCTTTACCTAAAATTAATGAAAAATTCATAGTTTATAATTGAGATTGGCTCTAAGTATATCTAGATTCATTATGTGAATGCTGAAGTTCCAGTTATAAGTTTTGTCTACAGACTTATCATACACATTCAGTTTTAAGGATTAGTATAACATACATTAGGCCTAAATTGTAACTTCAGAAAGAAATGCAATTTCACTTTTGGGTTATTTCAAAATACTTACCTCTTGTTGTGTGGTCAGTATATTTTTTGTTAAGTAATGCAGTAAAATGTAATATAAATGAAATATTTGGCAATATTTATATTTTTACATTAGTATAACATTATTATGATTCAAATTATAACTTCAAAAGTTTAAGTTTAAATGTGCGTGATATGAAAACCTCATTTTTTTTTATATGTATCAGTGTATTAGTTTGATTTAAAACTTTGTTATTATATACCTTATTGATTTATGTCATATTTTCTTTAATGGTTATTCTATACTTCAACCAATATTTGAACAAATTAGGCAGCTCAGTTTCATCATAATAAAATTCAAGAAGAAGATGCTTTGGATCCAGAGGAATTTGTTCGATTCTATCACAGCATACATAAACGTACAGAAGTGGAACGGTTATTTAAACAGTAAGTTAACTTACAATGTGGAATGTATGTTTTTATGTGTGTGCTTAGGTTAATTCAATTTATGTTAAGGGTTTTTTATGCCACAGTTATATACTACGCACAGCCATTTTATAGTTTATAACCTGCTTGAAAAATACATGCAATTTATATATATATAGTTTGATTGATGAGTATCATGATTTGTTACAAGTTAGTTTGCAAAGCCAATCATTTCAAGAGCTGTTGTTTTATTATATGTTTTATTCTGTCTGTTTTATACTTCCATCATTAATAATCTATTTGTGAAATTTATACAAGGTAGTTCTATAAAACTTGGAGCAATTAAAGAACCTTTTTTTGTGGGTATGTGTCAGCTACAAAAAATTATAAATTAAACTTCATGTACTCGTGATAAAATCTAGTTCTTTGTACTCTAGAAATGTGTATGTATGAAGTTCATAGTTAGCCTTGTAAACTTTATTTGAATAAAATATTTTATGAAATTATAGTGCCCACTTCACATTCTACATGTAGCACTGTGAAATCCATTTACTGTGAAAATACTACTCTTCATAAAATTCATATATATTTCTCTTGCTTATAAAGGTTGTAAGCATTTCTAACCTAACCTATGGCAAAGACCAAATCTATGTGCCTGGATAATGTGTTGAGTTATACTTTATTGGCCTAAGTTAGTTATTTGCTTAAAATGTTACAGTTTAGTGCTTAAAGAATTAGAAACAACCTTGTATTTTTCATCTTTCAGATACTCTACTAAAAATGCTAGCATTATGGAACCCGAAGAACTTTATATATTTCTCAAAGAGCAACAGAAAGTAAGAAAACATCCTTGTTTTCACGTGTTGGGTAAAGCTTGATACAATTAGGTTTAGCTTTGAATTATTGTTAAGCAGATGTTTGTCTAAAGTAACATCCACTAATGTAGCGAGCCAAAACTTGTGCCTTTTTAATATTATTCTCTCTTTTACCAGGAATTGGTAAAAATATCACTAGTATAAGTGTCCGGTAAATAGTGACATGCAAAAATTTCGAATAGTGTTTATAACACTGTTTAATTTGTCTCCATATAAATTGTGTAAATTCACCTTTATCATTTTATTCATTATGTGCTGACACACACAACAACTTTATCATTTTACCACTTGTAGATGAGCCAAGTCACTTTGTCTTATTGTAGAAGAATTATAGAGATGTGTGAAGGTGATCAAGAAACTGAAAAAGGATATCTATCAGTTACAGGTAAAAAAAAAAGTCATGGTTTTTGTATTTGTGGAAGCTGACAAAAAATATGGTTAGTGAAATCTGCTAATTGACTAATTGTAAGGCTTGTTAATCAATTATTCTCATGGGGTGACTAAAAAAAACTAAAAATTGGATCTTGATACCTGCATTAGGTAGAACAAAGATAGCCCACCGTGTAGCTTTGTGCTTAACAAGAAACAAATGTAACGGCAATATTCCATTTACATGGATAATCCTAGTAACAGATTCATTAGATAGAAATTAAAGTTTAGTGAAGAATAATAGTACAATGGCAATAACAACAAACATTTGATGTATATATAACAGTAACAAACATTTCATGTATGTATAATAGTAACAAACATTTGATGTATGTATAACAGTAACAAACATTTGATGTACGTATAACAGTAACAAACATTTGATGTATGTATAACAGTAACAAACATTTGATGTATGTATAACAGTAGCAAACATTTAATGTATGTATAACAGTAACAAACATTTGATGTATGTATAATAGTAACAAACATTTCATGTATGTATAACAGTAGCAAACATTTCATGTATGTATAACAGTAGCAAACATTTAATGTATGTATAACAGTAACAAACATTTGATGTATGTATAATAGTAACAAACATTTCATGTATGTATAACAGCAACAAACGTTTGATGTATGTATAACAGCAACAAACGTTTGTATGTATAACAGCAACAAACGTTTGTATGTATAACAGCAACAAACGTTTGATGTATGTATAACAGTAACAAACATTTCATGTATGTATAACAGTAGCAAACATTTAATGTATGTATAACAGTAACAAACATTTGATGTATGTATAATAGTAACAAACATTTCATGTATGTATAACAGTAACAAACATTTCATGTATGTATAACAGTTACAAACATTTAATTCTGAATGTTTCAGAATCTACATATTCCATCTTCAGCAAGCTACATTAAACAAAGTAAAATATTAAATACAAAGACTTCTAAAGTTACAACATGGAATTAATTTAAAAAAGAGAATGCAAAATTAAAACAATATTTTTTTATTTTGGAATTATATGGGTTATTCATAACAAATTTAATTGTAGTGAAGTTGTGTTTTTATTTAGAGTTCATTTATATGAGATAGACTTTTTTTAATTGAAAGCTCAATGATTAACGATCTAAATGAGATGTCTTTGAAATTTTTAATCAAGATGGGATGGTTATTGTTTTCACTATTTATTCAAGTTGCAAAGTCTGGAAGATTTGAAAGTTGTTTTCCTGTTCTTTCTGATACTCCAATATGTTCACTTGGGTAATTGGTGTTTGCAGTGTGGGCATCTTATCATTCTAGTACATGTCCAAGCTGTAACAATTTGTTCATTTAATATCATACTCAATATCCCATGTTACAATCTTCATTTGTTATCCTTTACTTATTAGCAATATCCCATGTTACAATCTTAATTTGTTGTCCTTTACTTATTAGCAACATCTCATGTTACAATCTTCATTTGTCGTCCTTTACTTATTAGCAATATCCCATGTTACAATCTTCATTTGTTGTCCTTTACTTATTAGCAATATCAACCACATATATTCATACATGATTCAGAAACACACAGGAGTAAGATAGGTCCTTAGGCCTATATATCTTTTGAAACTTGAAAGGTGATTTTAAATATCGTTTGTAGTTTAACTAGTGGATAAAAAGTTTTAATTATTTTTATAACTTGTGATTTTAGCATGAAACTTTGTGTACTTAAAAAAAAAGGAATGATCAGTCTCAATGGCTGTTTGCTTACATTATATGATTTCTTTGGGGGTTCAATTTTTTTAGAAAGGAATTTTCATTTTAGTGCTTAAATAAAATGCAAGGGACAGCCATTGTTTATTAGAACATTCTGTAAAGTGCTTAATACAGTTTGAAGAGAGAGATATTCTATTTAGAAAACTGAGTATAAGGTTATGTTTAAAGGAGTCCAAAATAAAACTTTCAAAATGATTATGTAAGCTTGTATATGTTTTCTTACAGTAAACAAATGTTGTAAACTGGTTATCTAATCTGCTGATTTGAATATCAAGAAAAAGTAATTTACCTTTTCTTGTTTCAGTTTCACAAGTAAAACAAACGTTAGGGTGTTTAAGATTTAAATAACCCAAGAATTATTTGATGTGATTAGAACTTCAAAAGAGTATCATCAACATACCTTCTATATAAAGCTGGTTTGTAGTCAGTGGGACAGGTGTCTAACCAAGAGCATTCATAGTTATTTACAATTAACTCTCTCAACACGTGGTTGGTCGATTTAACTAACCACGTGTCCTCTTTGTACTCGTTTAAAGTCTTTATTTTTCAGATGAAGTAAAGCATTTTTAATCTTAACATGAAAATCATTTTGCACTCAGAGCAGTGAACATTTTGACTCCATATATTCAAAGAAAGTTTTAGTGAAAATACTTTCATTAAAAATTCTAATTTTTTTGTCTGTAAAGGACTTAATGCTAACTGAAAGCTTGCAAAATTTTGTGAAGATACAAAACATAGTATAGAAACTATAAGTCATTTTGTGTCTTGAACTCAGCCAATTCAGTCAAGCCTGTAGTGAGAGGGTTAATGTCCTCCTTGTCTTCTAGGCGAACACAGTTTTGATTTTAATGTTGTTAAGCAGGTGGTTGTAGTTGATACCTTATTTTTCTCTGATTCATGTTGAGTAGTTGACTGTTTCTTCTGTCTAAATTCAAACTTTAGTTCTTCATCCAAATGTTAACATCGACATGAGAAATAGGCAGGAGATTTCTGCAAATTTAAGTTTGTAGTTTTGAAATAAAGGAATTTGGGGAGGACTTGATGGTGTTTGCAAGTTATTAAAAAATTAACGACCAAGGACAATTTCTTGAGTTTCTGATTAATGTTTTTGAGGGTTCAGAATAGCCATATCACCATTTTATAACCTAGCAACAGTTTCAATAGATGGGATTTGAAGTTGAGTGATGATGGAAACTATAACAAACATTTGACATTTTTAAGATAACTATTTGAAATATGTTCTACTCTAAACCATCAGTAATATCATATCTAATTAAGAGGGTAAATGCAATGGGTTTTATCTTCTTGTAAAGGTTGTTTGAGTTGAATGAGGTGTCTACATTTTAACTTGCTTTTAGTTCTTGCATTTCTGATGGACTACCTACGTTACAAACTTATATTGAATTTAACATCCCTTTATTACAAACTTATGATATTGCTGTTGAGAAGGGTATCTGGATATAAACTTGTATTTAATTCTGCTATCATATTTTAAATTGATGTTACACTTTTCTATTGAAATGTACTTTTATTTAAATGAAAGAACCACCATAACAGTGTTAACTTATTAGTATTTAAATTTTAACTTTTTTTTATAATTAACTGATATTAATGATTGTTTTTTTTTTTAGGTTTTCAAGAATTGCTTCTTTCTGAGGATTGCGACATATTTAACAAGGATCATCATACAGTGTATCAAGATATGACACAACCTCTCTCCCATTATTACGTTGCCTCTTCACACAACACGTAATAGATAATTTCAATTTTTAATTACACCAGATGAACGATAATTCATGTGTAATTTAGATATCACTGAAGTAAATTCTTTAAATAGTTCTATGAATTCTGCTAAATATATTTGAAAGTTTTCTTTGATTGTCATCACAAGGATAGAATGTTTTTCTTAAAGTTTAACTGTAGAGTCTTAACTGTTTCCAAGATTATATCTTGCCTACAGTCACAGAAAAGCTATCTTCCTTGCACATTTGCCTAAGAGATTTACATGCTACTCTCTTTGAGGCAACCCCCCCCCCCATTTTTTCACAGGTTTTAATTTGAACACAGTTAGTGCATGATGATGTCAATGTGCAACAAAATCCCTCCACCAGCGGGAGGGTGATATAACCTCCATGCACAGTAACTCCCCCTATGCACTTGTACTTGTGATAGTTCATTCTTCTCCTTGGTATTGTAATGAAGAAATGTATTTCAATTTTTTATATGTGTGTGTTCAATTTGTTGATATTTGTGTTGTTAACAAAACTTTGAATTTTATTTTTTTTGGCTTTTGTTTAAAAAACTTTTAATTTTATTGTGCATTCTCAAATGATGGTGACTTATACTTAGTTCTGTGTGGGTGATGTTATTCATACACAGGCCATATTTCTACTACGGCTTTTACAGGCTCATTAACTGTTGGGGATGTTGCAACCTTACGGGGCTTCTTACTTACATCAAGTCAGTTGAAATTCTTTCTTTTCAGTTGGGAATGATCTATCAGACCATGGCTTGCATCTGCTTTGCTTTGGGTAGTGCCTTTTAATTCAAGAAACGACCTTAACCTTCTAATCACTTTCTGTATTTCTTCTTCAGGTATATTCTTTCCCTGATCTTTTTCTTGTTTTTTTACTCCAGTTGTTGTCTTTCCTCCTTAGGAATCATACTGTTTCCTTTCTTTAAAAGCTCCTCTTTCATACCCGAATGTCTCATCCACTTTCTCATTTGTGACTCTTTTTTGTCCTGACTTGTGGACTTTCTTCCTTTCTTTTTCTCAATTCCCCATCTTGATATTTATTTTGTCATCTTGTGGATTGGGCCCATTACTTCCCGTTTCACTTCAGTTTCCCATTTTTTTCTCACTACCCTCTGTTTTCCTTCACCTACCTCTGCCTTTTGACTGAGGCACTTCTTTGTGCTTCAGATGGTTTTCTGTAGATATTTGTTCCCTTCTCATTGCCAGCTTATACTGTTCTATTTCTTCTGCTCTATCCCTCCTTACTCTGTTCCCCTGATGTTGGACTCATTGGGTTTGGATACATTTATTTTTACTGTACTCTTTCTTGTTTATATGATATTTGTCAGGCTTCCTTTTTTGGCCCAGATGTCTTCAGTGATGTTTATTTCTTCCTGATGACCTGGACTGCCATTATATGGCTTCCATCCATGTTATCTCCCTAGGTTCTTCTTCTTTTCTGACCTTGCCTTTTGCTCTTGTTCCTCATCTGGATTAGTCTACCAATCACCTTCCCATTTCAGGTTTCAGTCCTTTCTCTTTTTCTCATCCTACCAGACATCTAATTCATTGCTCCTCTTGTCAGTGACTATCTTGTCATGTCCGACCCATTGAGTACTTGTTATCTTTTCTTTTTCTACTGTTGGTCTCATGTTCTGCTAACAATCATTTTTCATTTCTCTAACATGATCTCTCCCTCTCCACACTTCTCTTTGTTCCTCTCTCTATATATATTTTTCTTTTTTCCTCACTTAGACCTCATCTGTGGTCTTTTTTTTACCTGGTCTGTTGGCCATGTTTGATTTTGGACACCTTCCTACATATCCTCCTTGATCTATCCTTGACATGTTTTCTATGTTCTGTTTATTGGATTTGTGTCTTCCTTGCTCTTCCCTTTGATACAGTGTCAGCCCTTTTTGTATTCATTTGTATCATGAGGGCCTTCAAGGTCCCAGGAGCTGGAATTCCTTGTCTTGGATGATTGGTTTCCCTTGGCCCATTCTTGGATGATATCCTCTTATCATACCAACCTTTCTTTTATAGGAGGCTACTCGACCGTGTAGACTTGCATTAAATCTACATCCTTTGTAATGCTCACTTAATATTTGGTATTTCTGGGTATTTTCTTCATCTCTTGTCTCAGCTGAGTTCAGGCTACTCTTCTTCATTTGTGGGCTATTGCATATTTAGCCACCTGGATCTGTGCTTTTCATTCTCATCCTGCACATTGGGTTCTTTTGCTTTCAGGAACACTGGCATTCCTGGAACCCTTCATTCCTTTGATGCATGCACACATGCACCTCCTGCAGTAGACCTTGCAGAATCCAATGAATTAATTTTTAGATTCCATTGTCCCATCTTGTGAACCTCCCCTCTACTCAAGGAATTGTCTTGATGACTGGACTGTGCACTTACTACTACTGATGTTCCCTGACTATTTCTCAAACTGGATTTGTTGCATCATCAATGCTTCCATCTCTGAACGAGTACAGGACTTGTGGCATTTGGATGCAGGATGAATATTCATTTCTCATCCACATGTTTGAACTTCTTACTATTCATTGGGCCTACTGGTGGATCACTTGGTCATGATCTGCTCCGATATTTCCACATTTGTTTCTCACTTCAACCATTCAGTAGGCTCCCATTTCAGGACCTTTTGCTTTCAGATATTAGACTTACTCTTCAGGCCCCATTTACATTAAGTTCATCTTATTGCCTGTCATTTGCTAGGAGCTAAGAACTTGGTGGTCAAACATCTGTCTTGGCTGGTTTGCATTCTTCTAGTGGAGTAGTCTCTACATTCCTAGGTCATTTGTTGAGTTTGCTCTCACTTGGGCATGCCTGTCATAAATAAATCCACCCTTCTCAACTCCAGGTTTCATCTCTTTTAGAACCCTCTGCTTCGTATTTCAGCTTTAGCTGTTGATGCCCTCAGCAACGCCTGTTCTTACCTACTTCTCTATGGCTATCCTTCTCTTTATCTCCTCCCTTGCATCCTCTCTCTGATATAGAACACTTTTTGTTGGGTCCTCTTGTTGGCTTTTGTTTTTTAATATTTAAATATAGGGGTCTTAACTGTTTCAAGAAAACTTCATTAAATATAACTACATGTACGTATATTTACGAGGTCTTAACCATTGTACTCTTTGGATAATTGTAATAAGTTGGATATAATGTTAAAATTCACTTTATAGCTATATATCTTGGTTGATGCTCTATTATTGAAACAGATCTTGTTTTGGGGTTTCAGTAGTTTAATGCCAAGAAAAATGTGAGGTTTATTTAACTTACATGACAAAGTAGAGGAATAATAACATTTTAGTTTTTTGTTAGAAAGCTTAACACTGTCAAGTGATATTTCTTGCTTTTCACTATTTCTATTTGTTAGTTTTTATACATGGAGTTGCAGAAACGTTTGAATATTTTGTAAATTTTAGGATTATTTTCCCACAATTTTAACATATTTGGTACTGTTGCACACACACAAACTCTCAGAAAGCTGTTATTTTGTTGTTGTTAAAATGAATACCTATTTTATTTACAGATACTTAATGCAAGGCCAGTTGATTGGGGAAAGCAGTGTGGAAGGATATATTCTTGCTTTAAAACGTGGATGTCGTTGTCTAGAATGTAAGTTCATCTCTTACGTTAAAAAGAAATATTCCAATACATGCTACTAGCCACTGGGGTGAGGTCATACACTTTGTTCAATTACTTACTCATGATAATATGAATACGTCTCCAATCAACAGTGAGATCAAATTCATTATGATTACTAATAGTAGTAATATTACACTCCTTAGTACTGATTAATGCCGTAGAGTTTAAAGACGTACTCTAGTGAAATAATGACTGCTTTAAAAACTTTTTACATAAAATAGATTTTATTTATTAAAATTAGTTTTACGTTTCTGTTTTCTGATATGTTAATAAAATGTATAACATCCATATAAAACTATGCTATAACTTATGCTTGCTTGCTAATATAAATATATCTTGGGAAAAGAACCTTCACATTTCACACCCTGACTATGAGCCTGCTAATATAACTTTGTAATGTTATACATGTAGAGGTGCACGTATAAGTTTTTAAAAAATTGGATAATTCTTGTGCCTGTGTTTTCCCAGATGCTTAGGACTTTCTGTGTGTCTAATAAATTTACTTTGTCATAATTTAATATGATCTTTTTTAATTATAAAGAAAAAAAGACATTATAATTGTAAGAATTTATACTTAGATTTGTTATACGTTATAACACAAAAATTTGATAATTGTAAATGCTAGTGAAATTTTATATATATATATACATTTACTCACTTTCCATAGTGGATGTCTGGAATGGACCTAGTGAAGAGCCAATCATATATCATGGCCGCACCTTCACTTCTAAGATTTTACTGTCTGATGTACTGGAAGCCATAAAGAAATATGCTTTTGTAGCCTCTAGGTACGTAATTATATATTTCTCTATTATAGTTGCTACAGTCTTGTTTGCCGGTAACTTTAAAGAGGTTAATGTAAAGCATTTTGTTTGTGCTTTTAACCCTCTGAATATGGGTAAGTCAAAATGCAAATGTCCCAAATTTTCAGAGAATTCATTCAAAATCTAATGAAGCTACTTTATTATCATTGTGTACAAATAAGCTTTGCATCATCATAGGTAGTTAAGAAATCAAATTTTAATATTATGTAAGTTGTATTTCTTGATTTCAAAAGGAAATACTTAAATCCTCTTTCTCCCTTTGTCTGTATAAAGTGACATTTATTTGTTCTGACATTCCCATTTTCTACTTCTTCATCATCTCTTTAATGTCCTGAGTTTAATATAAATTACCCATAATAGCATAGATATTACTAATTTTTACAGATCTCAAACTCGAATCCACTTGCCCTTCTTCTCTTTCACAATTTGCCAATAATATTTTCTAACATTTGCTATTACATCACTTACAACCACCAGAAAGACAAGGTTTTAACTTACTGAATAACATGTAATGCTACCTTGTTCTCAGAAGATACTTTGTTATTTTCCTATGGATTGAAAGCTGCTAATGCGAGTTCAGATCGAGCAGGAAAGATAATTATAATAAGGCTCTATGCCTTAGTTAGAAAGCTAGTTAAATTATAATATTTTTAAGACATTGTTTGTTTTTTGTTTTATTTTGTGTACTGAAGTGCATATTTGAAATACATAAAATTATTTAACATACTAGTACCATTATTACAAAAAAGTAGGCTTAAGTTTCATTGACAAGCCAACAGCAAAACAAATGAAACTTTATCAAAGATATTAAATTTTTTGTTTTGAAGATATGTTTTTTATGTATTCTCATAAAAATAAAACGAAAAAAATTAGCAATTTATTAGATTAGATAAGTTTAGAGTTAGATAGTGATAAAAAAGAATTTCTCTATGAATTGTGCAACGTTTACTAAAAGATTGCAAAATTTCGTGAAGATGCATTAAGAATTATTATATGGATACTTTCATGGTTGCCTGGTGGTAGCAAGGTCATTCAGAGTGACCGATCCTGTATCGATTTAGAATAAATTCAGAGTTAATAACCATTTCTTTCCACCAGTCTAATAGGTGGTGTATAATAATTTTTAGAGAGTACATATTGCATAATGTGATTTTACTGTTATTAGTTTGTCTTATACTTCGTTTACAATATTTGGTTGTCTTTCCGTCTACTAGGTATCCCGTTATCTTGTCTCTAGAAAATCATTGTGGAGTAACGCAGCAACTCAGAATGGCTGAACACTTTGTGAACATCTTTGGAGGTAAATTTTAAATAAACTAAGTGATGTTATTACTGACTTTAGTTACAATATTAAAACTTAGAAAGTAATGTTTCTAGTATAAATATGTGATAATTATGTTTTATAATAAAATGTGCAACTTTTTAAACCAGACTTGAATTATTTGTAAATTTCAAGTCCAGCAAAGTTTAGAAATTCTAAAGGCTCTAAAACCATTCATCTGTCATAATACTGTGATTCCAAATCCATAAATAAATGCTCTACTTCAATACTTATCATTGTTAAACTTTTAATCATTATAACTGGAATTCAGGCCATTAGCAGTATTAACGGTTCAGGAAGATCTGTGTTATGACATGCTTGGTCCCTCGGTGTCAAAAGTAAGTTTACAGATTTACAATGCTAAATTCTGGAGTTTGACTCCCCATGGTAGACAGCTCAATACTAAAACAAACAAACATAGCAGCTCTGAAATGATTGAAACATTTTACTTGATGTCATCAAAATTTAGCTGAAATTATCAATAATAAAAATTTGATAATTATCAACCTTTATAATAATGTCTTAAAAGCTGTTTGATTGCCTTTGTTAAAATAAACAATGCCTGTTGTTGTACAGGGAGGTAGGAGGAAAAATTCAGTCATACATCTGCTGTTAAATTCTCAGTGCAAATTCAACAGTAACAGTTTTTATTATCTGTTAATGCCTGTTGTTGTACAGGGAGATAGGAGGAAAAATTCAGTCATACATCTGCTGTTAAATTCTCAGTGGAAATTCAAAATTATCTGTTTTATTTTTATCAAAAAGCTGTAATCATATAGCTAGTATATGAAATGACTGTAATAGTTCACGAGTTGAACACTGATTTTTTTAAGTTTCTCTGTAACCCTACACTGAAGAGTACCTAAAGTTTCCTGTCATTACAATTATTGAGGAAATGTTAAATAATTTTGTTTAATAACTAATTTTATTTCTTATATATATATTAGACATTCTCATAAATGAATGTAACAATTATATTTCATTTTATTAATACAACGTTGACTAGACTTTCAATTCACGCAAATTGTTGTTCTCACGTCAGCCTGTAAAGCAATGTTTCTCAATTGTTGTTCTAATGTCAGCCTGTAAAGCAATGTTTCTCAATTGTTGTTCTAATGTCAGCCTGTAAAGCAGTGTTTCTCAATTGTAGTTCTAATGTCAGCCTGTAAAGCAATGTTTCTCAATTGTTGTTCTAATGTTAGCCTGTAAAGCAGTGTTTCTCAATTGTTGTTCTAATGTCAGCCTGTAAAGCAGTGTTTCTCAATTGTTGTTCTCACGTCAGCCTGTAAAGCAGTGTTTTTCAATTGTAGATCTAACGTCAGCCTGTAAAGCAGTGTTTCTCAATTGTTGTTCTAATGTCTGCCTGTAAAGCAATGTTTCTCAATTGTAGTTCTAATGTCAGCCTGTAAAGCAATGTTTCTCAATTGTAGTTCTAATGTCAGCCTGTAAAGCAATGTTTCTCAATTGTAGTTCTAATGTCAGCCTGTAAAGCAATGTTTCTCAGTTGTAGTTCTAATGTCAGCCTGTAAAGCAGTGTTTCTCAATTGTTGTTCCAATGTCAGCCTGTTTCTCGACTGTGGTTCTAATGTCAGCCTGTTTCTCAATTGTAGTTCTAATGTCAGCCTGTTTCTCAATTGTAGTTCTAATGTCAGCCTGTTTCTTGATTATAGTTCTAATGTCAGCCTGTTTCTCAGTTGTAGTTCTAATGTCAGCCTGTTTCTCAATTGTAGTTCTAATGTCAGCCTGTTTCTCAATTGTAGTTCTAATGTCAGCCTGTTTCTGATTGTAGTTCTAATGTCAGCCTGTTTCTTGATTGTAGTTCTAATGTCAGCCTGTTTCTCAGTTGTAGTTCTAATGTCAGCCTGTTTCTCAGTTGTAGTTCTAATGTCAGCCTGTTTCTCAGTTGTAGTTCTAATGTCAGCGTCTATAATCCTGTCACCTACTGACATCATTTCTGTCACATTTAATCCTCGTATTTTTTTCTTTGTAACTATATATAAACCATGTATTGCTTAGTACATATCATACCTGAAGAAGACAGACCAATGTCCTGTCGAAACATGTAGTATGATCCAATAATCTATCAATAAAACTCTTCCTTATGTTTATGGATCATTGTTTGCCTACCTATTATTAGGAAGTACCAATGTTTGGTTTGGTAGTAAATCTAAAGGCTTTAAAAATCATCACCTATCATCATTCGCTGGTTCATAAAATAAATAAATGCCCTAGTTTACTACATTTATTGTTAAACTGTTAATATGGATGACTGAAATTCAGGCTGTTAGCAGTATTTAAGTTTAAGGAAAGTCATTGTTATGTCATCTGATGGTTACACTAAATGTGGATCACAATTCTTAAATGAAGTGGGGTTTAGAATTTTAGGAATTCAGATTTTACAGCACATAATTGATGATATTACTCTCTCATTAGACATGCTTCACACCACACCAGCAAGCGAAGATGAAGTAGATCTTCCTTCACCTGAGAAACTGATAGGAAAAATTTTGTTGAAGGTAAGAAAGTAAGCTGTTTAATTCAGATCTTTCTTTTAATCTCAAGTGGGAGTATTATATATTTTTATTAATTGAGCTTCAAGTCCAAGAAGTAATTGATTTAACTAGTCTGATTTTGTTTAACCTTAATTCTTTCAGCATGGGCTCAGTCCCTAGGACCGACCTCGTAAACATTTTGTGATTGTTATAGTTTTAATGCTATAACTTTTAAATTAGTAAGCATATGTTAACAAAATTTGACAGATTATCAGTAAACATTACAATGCTTTCAGTTGCAAAAAATCAAATTCTTTTTATGATTAAAGTC